GAGATTGTATGACAGAATTTTCTAAGACCAATGACTTCTTCATTGCAAATTCCTTTTTCCAACAACATAATGGCAAGTATATATGTGAACCTCACCAAAGGGACCAACAGGAATACCTTCGACTATGCAAAGGTATTTGACTATGTGGATTATTACAAATTATGGATAACATGTAAGAATGGGAATTCCAGAACACTTAATTGTGCTCATGTGTAAACTGGACATAGACCAGCGGCATTGTTCAAATAGAACATACACACTGCTGTCGAGTCAGATCCAACTCGTAGTGATCCCTCCTTGGGTTTCCAAGGTGGTATCACTACAGAAGCAGATCGCCCAACCTTCCTTCTGAGGAGTGGCTGGTGGGTTTGAACGCCAGCCTTCTGGTTAGCAGTCAAATGCCTTAGGCACTACACCACCAGAGCTCTCTCAAATAGAAGGGATGATAATCCACAAGGTAAAATCAGGAGAGATGTGCATCAAGGTTTTACTCTTTCACCACACTTATTCAATCTGTACACTGAGCAAATAATTCGAGAAGCTGGGCTATACAAAGAAGAATGTGCCATCAGGTATGGAGGAAGCCTCATTGAAAACCTGTGATATGCAGATGACACAACCTTGCTTGCTGAAATGAAGAGGAGTTGAAGCTCTAACTGATAAAGATGAAAGACTACAGCCTTCAGCATGGATTACACATTAACAGAAATAAAACAAAAATCCTCACTACTGGAAAGCTTGAAATTGTCAAGGATTTCATTTTATTTGAATACGTAATCAATGTCCACAGAAGTAGTCAAGAAATTAAGCTACACATTGTACTGGGCAAATCTGCTGGAAACGACCTCTTTAAAGTGTTATAAAGGAAAGATGCTACTTTGGAGACTATGCTGCACCTGACCCAAGCCATGGTATTTTCAATTGCCTAATGTGCAAACAAAAGCTAGACAATGAATAAGGAAGGCCAAAGAATAATAAAGACTAAAGAAGAACTGAGGAGCTCTGGTAGCATAGTGGCTAAAGCACTTGACTGCTAACCAGAAGGCTGGCGGTTCAAACTCACCAGCCACTCCTCGGAAGGAAGGTTGGGCAATCCTACTTCCGTAGTGATACTGCCTTGGAAACCCAAGGAGGGGTCGCTATGAGTCGGGACCGACTCGACGGCACATAACAACAACAACAACAACAAAGAAGAACTGATGACTTTGAGTTAAGGTGTTGGCAAAGAATAATGAATATATCATGAACTGCCAGAAGAATGAACATATCTGTCTTAGAAGAAGTACAGTCAAAATACTCTTTAGAAGCAAGGATAGTGAGACTTCATATCAGGTACTTTGGATATGTTATTAGAAGGTAACAATCCCTGGAGAGAGATATCATGCTTAGTACAGTAGGTCAGTGACAAAGAAGACCCTCAGCAAGATGGATTGACACAGTGACTCCAACAGCGGGCTGGACCATTGCACTAACCATGAGTATGGCACAGGACTGGGCAGTGCTGCGTTCTATCGTACACAGGGTCACTATGAGTTGGAACTGACTCAATGGTAGCTAAGAACAACAACAAGAATAATCTTTATGGAACCAGATCACTAGGTCTTTATCCCAGTGGTACTGGGTATGTTTGATCCACCAATCTTCTGGTTAATGACTGAGCACCTAACCATTATGCCACTAGGGCTCTGTTGAGCAAAGATTATCACTACATTCCTAAGGACTATATTTGCTAGGCCTATTCCTACATTCCCCCTTGTTCCAAAGGAGTGTATGATTTTACTGAGACTAAATGACGATAAAAATTCCAATGCAATTTACGTACCTGTGATTTAAGCAGCTTTTAGCTTTTGAGATGATTAACAGAAGTTGCAGTCTCCCCTTTAAAGATACATTACTTTACACAAAAGTACTTCTGACAGTTCCTAAACATAAACCTACACATAGTTTTGTTTATACATTAAAAAAGGAAAAGAAAGTATCAGATATACATAAAGATTTTATTCTTAAATCTGACTGGTAATAAATTGCCCTATTTTAAATATAGGGTATTTTAAATTTATTAAGAATTAAATGGTTAAAAACAGTTAATATTAAATACCTTTTTTAATGCATAGAGTTATATGATTATATCTGTTTGTTTTTCTTTATTATTAGATTTAGTATGTGTGATTATTTGATCCACAAGTGTTACCTCAATAAATTTTAAACTCTATGAGGGCAATGTCTGGAAATATGAAGAGAATTTAGACTGGTTGTATAAATCATTCGGCCCTTTTTATTCTTCTAGGATTTTAACTGTGGAACAGACCATCAATTTTTCATATGCAAGTACAAGTTGAAACTGAAGACAATTAAAGTTAAGTTCACAAGAGCCAAAATATGACCTTGATTATATCCCACCTGAATTTAGAGACTATCTGAAGAACAAATTTGATGCAATGAATACCAGTAACTGAAAACCAGATGAATTGTGGGAGGATATCAAGAACATTACCCATGAAGAAAGCAAAGGATCATTAAAAAGGAAGAACAGAACAAAATGGATGTCAGAAGAGACTCTGAAACTTGCTATTCAATGGAGAACAGCTGAAGCAAATGGAATAAATGACAAGATAAAAGGACTGAACAGAAAATTTCAAAGAGAAGCTCGAAAAGACAAAGTAAATTACTAAAATGAAATGTACAAAGACCTGGAGTTAGAAAACCAAAAGGGAAGAACACACTCGACATTTCTCAAGCTGAAAGAACTGAAGAAAAAATTCAAGCTTCAAGTTGGAATGTTGAAAGATTCTATGTGCAAAATATTGAATGATGCAGGAAGCATCAAAAGAAGATGAAAGGAATACACAGAGTTACTGTACAAAAAAGAATTGGTTGATGTTCATCTATTTTAGGAGGTGGCATATGATCAAGAACCAATGGTACTGAAGGAAGAAGTCAAAGATGCCCTGAAGGAATTGGTGAAAAACAAGGCTCTAGGATTGATGGAATAACCCCTGGGCTGTTTCAACAAATGTCTGCTTTGTTGGAGGGACTAACTTGTCTATGCCAAAAAAATTGGAAGACAGCTACCTGGCCAAGTGACTGGAAGAAATCAATATTTGTACCCATTTCAAAGAAAGGCGATCCCACAGAATGTGGAAATTATCAAACAATATCATTAATATCACATGCAAATAAAATCTTGCTGAAGGTAATTAAAAAATCGTTGTAGCAGTATATTGACAGGGAACTTCCAGAAATGCAAGCTATATTCAGAACAGGATGAGGAATGAGGAATATCATTGCTGATGTCAGATGGATCTTGGCTAAAAGCAAATAACACCAAACAGATGTATACTTGTGTCTTATTGACTATGCAAAAACATTTGACTGTGTGGATCATAACTAATTATGGGTAACATTGCAAAGAATGAGAATTCCAGAACACTTAATTGTGCTTATGAGAAATCTGTACATATACCAAGAGGCTGTCATTTGAACAGAACAAAGGGATACTGCATGGTTTAAAATGAGGAAGGATGTACATCAGGGTTGTATCCTTTCACTGTACTTACTCAAACTGTATGCTGAGAAAATAATCCATGAAGCTCTACTATATGAAGAATGTGGCATCAGGATTGGAGGAAAAATCATTAACAAGCTGTGATATGCAGATGACACGACCTTGCTTGCTGAAAGTGAAGATGACTTGAAGTACTTACTGATAAAGATTAAAGACTATAGTCTACAATATGGATTACACCTCAACATAAAGAAAATGAAAATCCTTACAAGTGGACCAGTAAGTGGCATCACAATAAATGGAGAAAAGACTGAAGTTGTCAAAGATTTCATATTACTTGGATCCACAATCAACACCAATGGAAGCAGAAGTCAAGACATCAGACTGTAATGCACTTGGCAAATCAACTGCAAAAGACCTCTTTAAAGTGCTAAAGAGCAAAGATGTCTCTTTGAAGACTAAGGTATACCTAACCTCAGTCATGATATTTTCAATCCCCTCATATGCTTGTGAAATGTGGACAACAAATAAGGAAGACTGAAGAAGAGTTGAAATTTTTGAGTTGTGGTGTTGGCGAAGAATACTGAAAACACCATGGACCGCCAGAAGAACAAACAAGTCTCTCCTGGATGAAGTGCTGCTGGAATGCTCCACAGAAATGAGAATGACCATTTCATCTCACCTATATTGGTTATCTTGTCAGAAGTGACCATTCCCTGGAGAAGGATATCATGTTTGCTAAAGTAGAGGGTCAGCAAAAAAGGAGAAGACCTTCAGTGAGATGGATTGACACAGTGGCTACAATGATGGGCTCAGTATATAGCAAGGATTATGAGGATGGCGTAGGAACAGGCAGTGTTTCGTTCTGTTGTACACAAGGTGGCTATGAATTGGAGCTGACTCAACAGCACCTAACAACAACAACAACAACAGCAAAGGCTTGTGAGACACATTACATTAAAAAAAAAAATTTTTTTTGAAATGCTGATTTAGAGGTCTTTAGGAAACAGACTGTTTAATTATTAACTATTAGTGATATTAGAATATTTATATGCCTTTCAGTTCTACTTAGTTGGATTTGGTGGAAAGGAGAATAATAGAGGTGATAATTTACTTGGCATATAACGACATTATCAGTTTATTTGAAAAAATTACATTTAAGACATATTTTTCTTCTGGGATCTTATATGGATTTGTCTAAATATAATCTGTGTTAATGGAATGTTTTTATCTTAAGCCATTATATAAGTGAAACAATGTCCATAACTCAAAACTGAATTTAATACAGTAATCTATAAATTATTCCCACAATAAAACTACAAATCTTAGCTCCACCTTAAATGCTATGTAGTACATATTGCTATGAAAGGTATTGTGTATCCACATCAATTTGTCCTTTTGAAAGTATGCTTTAACAAAGAATGGGAAATGATTTAGGATGAACAAGCAAATGAATGTTCTATAATACGGAGGAGACTTTTATTCATGATTTTACCTGATCTGTCCACGAACCAGAGGTCTGTTCTTTGTCCTATTCATGTTTGAATCAAATGGCACCTCAAAAAACTGTAAGATTTAAAAAGACAGAAAACAATAAATATAATGTGAAACAATCCTCCTCCAGAAGCTTTAGTTTCACAAATATTTCTACAGTAAACACCACATTAATTCTGATAGTATGAATTAACAGTCTTGACATTCTGATGTAAAATTCTCTGGGAGAGGCACATTTTGAAAGCTATTTGCATTAACTGTTGTTAGGAATATGCACAGCTTTACTTTTAACCACTTTGAAAGTCTCATGTTAAGAATATAATTTTATTTTGTAAAGCCATGGTTTTGGGTTTAAAGCATTAGTGTTGCCAAAGATTTCAGAATCCTTCACACATTTTATAATCTGAGATTCAATGAAGACTCAGTCAACTCTGACTCTGGGGAATGTGCTACTGAAATCAAGAATCAGGGTTGAAGTAAATTTAGACACCAGATGAAACTCTGTAGAACCACTGAGGTGATACTCCAACTATTCCAGTATGCCTGGGATAGACCTGGTTTACATCTGTGGTCCTGGTATCACTATTGACAGAAACCCCTTTCAATCTCAAAGCAAGCCAGTTTGGACATATGGTCACTGTTATGGATTGAATTGTTTCCCCTAGAAAACATGTGTCGTAAATCTTAATCCTTACACCTATGGAGGTAAACCCATTTGGGAATAGGGTTTTCTTTGTTATATTAATGAGGCTGTATCAGTATAGGGTGTTTTTTAAGCCAATCACTTTTGAGATATAAAAGGAACAGACTACCACAGAGACAAGCAAGCAAAAACAGCAGACAGACATTATAGGGAGGATGCCAAGGAAACTGAGAAGGACTTGAGAAGTTATGACAAAGATTGTCCCCAGAGTGTACAGACAGAGACTTTCCCCAGAGCTGGAGTCCTGAATTTGGACTTCGTGTCTCCTAAACTGTGAGAAAATAAATTTCTGCTTGTTAAAATTACTCATTTGTGATATTTCTGTTACAGCAGTACTGAGTAACAGTCACTTTTAATAAAGTATTTTCTTTTTCATCTATTAATCTATTAAAAGACAAGGCACAGGGAACTCATTTTCCAAAGCCTTGACAAAATTGCATAATATATTCCTAAATTTGCTATCAATGTTCTTTACTTGTCACCTGTTTTGGTAAAGCAGAATTCTCAAAAAAATGTGCTGATCTAATTATTATTTGAGAATATCTTTGACTAAATGAGTGTCAACCAAATCAGAACATGAAGCAAAAATTCAATGGAAGTTCTAAGTATTTCCCCAACTATGTCCCCTAGTAATTCTGGAAGTTGCTCACAAGAAGAATGAAGTCATGGTTAAATCACATTAGTATGTGAAAAGCTCTGAGAAACTCCAAGGTGAAGAAATCTAAGTAACATTGCTTAGCCAGTGTTTTCCAAGCTTATTTGATCATGAAACCTTTTTACAAGAAAAATGAACTTACCCGACTTTGGAAATGTATAGTGATTTGTACTCAGTTGTTAGCTACCATTGAGTTAGCCCCAAATTTATAGTAACCCCGTATGTTACAGAGTAGAATGTTCCATAGGGTATTCTTGGCTGTATTCTTTCATGAAGCTGTTTTCCAGGCCTTTCTTCTGTGGGAACCACTGAGTGAGTTCAGTCTGCCAACCTTTAAAGTCAGCAGCTGATTGTAAACCTTTTGTGCCACCCAGGCTCCTCTGTGCTCAGTAGGTGTTTCTGTAAATGTTAGGAAAAATAAACACTACTGGTAAAAGGGAGCTCTGGTGGCGTAGTGCCTAAGGCATTTGACTGCTAACCAGAAGGCTGGTGGGTCAAACACACCAGCCACTCCTCAGAAGGAAAGTTGGGCAATCTACTTCCATAGTGATACCTTCTCGGAAACCCAAGGAGGGGTCGCTATGAGTTGGATCTGACTGGACGGCAGTGTGTTTTTTAGTGGTAAAAAAGACAGTCTAGAATATGTAAAGTAGCATTTTATTTTATTGTACTTTAAAAATAATCTAGTGCTATCTACTAATAACTAAATGTTAAAATTGAAGAATTTTATTCTTAAGTATCAGAAAAATTTGGAGTGGATTCCTTATAGGTTAAGACAGCTGGTTGTGTTTCTTTTAATATTCCTTTTTTTCCCACTGAACTCTTCAAGGTTTATTCACATACTATTTGCTAATGTAGAATCAAAGAGGAAAATCTCAGGATATACAAAAGTTCTAGTAGATTATTAGCACTTGGATGAATGATACAAAATATAAAAAACTGTAAGGCCAATCTTCTTCAGTTATTCTTTTAATTTCTTTAAATGTATAGTTATTTTATTTTCTTAATTTTATAAATAATGCATTTTTATTGTGAGAAAGCTTGGAAAATACAGAAAA